TACCCGAAAGTATCTTTTAGACAAGTACTACCTGTCTTCTCCTTACTACACAATTTCCGCACAACTGAGAGTTCCAGCTAATGGACTAATGTTATACAGCACGCCATGAAGAAATCATGCTTGAAAGCTCATTATCCCTTCTGACGCTCACTGGATTTCTAACACAACCACAATCAAGAGCACTTTAAAACAAACAACTAATCCTAAAGGTTCAAAGTCAAGCTTTACCTATAAATACAACACGACCAGTATATATCACAATAGACACATAAAAAACACTTCACAAAAGATCAATTCACATGTATAAATATTGAGATCCAGTGAACATTTTACGTATCCCTAAAAACGTCGTGACCTCGTGATACTTAAATTATGTCAATGGATTCAGTAATAAGGAAAACCAATAATAAGGAAAACCAATAGAAGAAAGAAAGACGTGGATTACAGAGCAATGACAGTAACCATCGGGAACAGCAACGCGTCAAATCAGAAAATTAGGACTTCATTGACACTATCGAACAACGTTTCCATTTCTTCCAAAGTGTATTTTCTAGCGATTTGTAATCCATCTTCGTCCGGTTTTTCGTACTGGAAACGATGATAATCTTCTGTCAATACGGGAGTGTTCTAAAAAGATCCTACAAATCTGAATACTAAATAAACAACACAAAATACAAACAACAAAATATGCACTGAGATATCCGCGTCAGGTCAAATCCCTTGTCATGTAATTGCGATTAAAGATTTGACCTGATTGCGGACCTTTGCGGAAGGTACAACTCACGGTTTTGATATCATCGTAGTTATCGGGTTCATTTTCAGGACCACAAAACTCAATAGGGTCTTCCTCGTCAATATCATAGAGACCTCCGTGGTCTCTCGAAATCAGCTAAATACAAGTATATAAGTTTGGAACAAGAACGAATGAAAACTTTTGAAAATTAACCTTCTGCAAGTATTCAGCTTCGTTCTCAGCTTCATGAAGAACGACATTATCCTGAAATTCGATGAAGAATCATACAAAACAATGAGGACTTAAAACTATAACTAGTAAACTTCAGGATAATCAACTTTGACAAATAACATTAATAACCTGAAAGGAGTGAGAACAATCATCTTTGTCTTCTTCGAGACTGCACTCTTCGATGACATCATCACTCAAGTCGAAACGATGAAGCTATAACGGAGAGACTGGCCCACTTTTTCTAACACTAGTAACAAAGAAAATACGACTTATACCATAGTTTTAATATATTAAAAATTACCTCAGACGGCTGCAGAGCAGAAGAGTGAGGTTTGAGGGAGTTACGTCCTGAACATAACTCCGACAGGCGCCTTCGCGATTCCGATATGTCAAGATTCGAACTAACCGTTTGCAACTACAATTAATGACTTTACGATTAGAAAAGATTTGGAAAGACTATATATTAAAGAGAAAACCACATTCACAAGTGTGGTGACTTATAGCGACCTTACTGATTCGAATATCAAATTTGCTACGCAAGAACATCAAAACGGTATAACCAAGAAAGGTACGGCATATTGTCACGTCCAACTGTCAGAGAGAAAAGAACACAATAGATACCCTAGCACGCTAATTGTAAGAGCAAACACCAAGCCAATTTCGATCTGACCTGCGACAAGTCTTTTCAAACAACTCATTCAGAACGCTGATTTGGGCATTGTCATCATTTATCAACCTTAGCCCAACGGGAACGAGTGAGGAAATTAATTTCTCAGGGGCCGCTTAGAACTACATCCTATGTTGAAGTTAAAACACGATTTTTCCTCTAGGAATCAACTATATTCTAAAACCATTTTCATCCGTGGTATCTTCCAGGTGGTTTCAAATAGCCCAAAACTGGAGAATTTTTTGAACGCTTAACGAGAATGTCAAGACTCACCGTTGGCTTAGGCATAGGTGTCGATGGTTTGAGCCCTGCTCTGTTCGGGGTAGCCTACAAAAAACTGGTTTATAAATATTCCTCTACTACACTTTCACAGATTTCCATTAGGGAATTTCTACCTGTAATTCTAGATTTGATAACTGCTCGTTAGCCACTCAGATATGCATATATGGCTCTTGAAAAAGTTAAAAAAGTTCATTCTACAAATACTTGAAATCTCGCACGTTAACATATTCATTCAGAACCTTGGCAACAGTACAGTTCCAGACCATGTACGACCACGCGCTGCCACAAAGAAGTTGGAAGTTTCAACGAAAATGTGTAAACCTTGCCCATGTCAAATAGGACATCGTTCCAGTCGTAGAAATTTCTTTTCAAGAGAAACTGTACACCACTTGTCAGTACGGGTAATCGGATTTTAGTTCCCTGCCGGTTAAACTTATAAGGCGCTGCGCATTACCATCAACTTTGATTGGTACTCGAAGATCATGGACACGGCAAAGTTTGCCCTTCATAGCAGCATTAGCACCTACCTCCCAACAGGGGGAAGTGCTAATGCTCCTATGGACGCATGTATCTTTGCAATACTCTCTTTGAATTAGTAAGCAACATCGCAAATTAATTTCTATTCGGCTCGCCATACTTCCATCNGACCACGCGCTGCCACAAAGAAGTTGGAAGTTTCAACGAAAATGTGTAAACCTTGCCCATGTCAAATAGGACATCGTTCCAGTCGTAGAAATTTCTTTTCAAGAGAAACTGTACACCACTTGTCAGTACGGGTAATCGGATTTTGTTCCTTGCCGATTAAACTTATAAGGCGCTGCGCATTACCATCAACTTTGATTGGTACTCGAAGATCATGGACACGGCAAAGTTTGCCCTTCATAGCAGCATTAGCACCTACCTCCCAACAGAGGGAAGTGCTAATGCTCCTATGGACGCATGTATCTTTGCAATACTCTCTTTGAATTAGTAAGCATTATCGCAAATTAATTTCTATTCGGCTCGCCAAACTTCCATCGTGCGACATCGTCGTTCATTTGCACACCCGCTCCCCCACAGCATGCTGTTCTGCTCAAAACCAAGAGTAATCCTTATGTCGATTGAAGCACACAACCACCAGGGTATCGTTAATTCATTTTGGAACTCGAACCCATGTTTTAATGCGTCACAAGCTAGTTTCAACAAACGAGGACAACAAAAGTGGGCTTTCGTTGGAATGGGAATAAGAAGAGGCCGTTATTCTGATCAAGGTCAGCCTTTTCTTTGCCTTGCTACAGTTACATCTACCCAATATGATGAAGATTGTGGCCGATAAAGGGTCGTTCGATGTATGTCTCTTAAATTACCACCCGCAGATGATGTACAAGAAACAGTGGTACCTCGAAGTGCACCATAAGGATGGATAGTTCCAAATGAAAAAAAATCAAATTGGAATTAGTGACGGGGCCTTGGTACCCATCGGAGAAACCGACTTCAACCCATCCTACCGCAATCAAAAAAAGGATGATGTGTAAGGCTCACTGGAATTCTCCGAAATACTTTAGGCCAAGTCTGAGTCTTTTCCAAAAACTACGCTAGTTTCACGAAGAGCCTTGTGCCACAGCTAGGATGCTGACTGGGAATTAACACGATAAACGCTCCCTGGCAACCTCCTAGTGTATGTGGTATGATTTCGTGTACCGTTCCCATTCTTACGAATGGCATGCGGTCTCAAAAGTTACCTTCGGTCCAACATGGATATGATCCGCAGTTGCTTTATTTGTCCAATAAATGGCCATTAATCGGAATTCTCCTGAGGGAGAGATGAGCGGCACTGTTTGTAAACTGTTACTATTCACATTCGCGGGTACCTTGCGCTTCAAACCCAATCCGTTGACAAGAAATTTTAAGCTACACCATTGGCAGAGGTTATCTTCCCTTGCGTAAGAGCCTTAAAGCATTCGTAGATCGTTATGATTATACTCACACACACTTGCAAGAACAACAAAACGGTAGGGGAATGAAGAAATGCCTTCCAACATCAATAGGCAAGCAATGACACACGCAGCCAAAGTTTACAATCTAGGAGTCAAGAGAAGCCGAAATTGCCATGATTGAAAACGAGATGGAAAGTAAACATATTGTTCAAACTTTGTTTTGATTCGACTAGTCGCTGTAGACACTGGACAATACTCGCTATAGGCACTGGACAATATATCTTACCATTACAGCTCCCTCGAGCACTAGTCCACAAATATAGCTGGCTTCTGAAGTTGTAAAAAAAACGTACCACATTTTTCACGTTCCCCAGAGCAAGCCGTGGTGTGCTGACAGTTTGTTTCTTCACTGAAATCGTAAACAGTTACAGGTAATGGCAGAAAAAGTCAGCCTTTGAGAAAGACAAACCTTGGGCGGTCATGTTCTCCTCCTCCGAGCGGTTATTTTGCAGTCGAGCAGTTGCGAGTTGCATACTAAACAATGGAAGCATTACAAGGGATGAAGCATACGGCTGGAAGAGCGGGAACAAGTAACAATCAAAGTAGGATTCCATTCATGCAAATCGTGGTAAAACGTTCTAATTGTTCTCTGCAGCAACAAAATCTGCATATCAGAGCACTAGAATACCAAGCAACCTTGCAGGAATGAACATTCTTGCATCTTCCCAAGAATAGATAGTTCACGTTAATTGTCCTCTGGGCAAAAATGTAGTTGGGATGGAGAGGGGAAGGGGGGGGGGGGGCACCCATTTTCATCAATACTAGGCGCTAGTGCGCAGATAAGGAGGGTCTCCAAGACTGTCATGGCATTTGGAAAAGTTTTCAGTCAGGGAAATATCGTTTTTAGCCGAGTTCCAGAAAGGGGAGGAGCACCGAGGTGGGTGAGATGATTACTTCCAGCAAAAGCAGCAATTAGGAAAGAATTGAACGTTCAGTTGACCACTGATCCATTTCTCTTCAATTCTTTATGGCGTGCTAGCATTCTATTCCTGACTAGGAGCATCATTACAGGTCCGCAAAGGTGGCAATCTCCTTTCCTGCGCCGTTGGGCCTAGCGTTGAAGGAGAGCAATGTCCCTCCCTCACCCTCCACTGCTGAACCAGTAATGCCCCAAGATCTCCAGATTTAAGTATATTTAATGATGAACGAAGGGAATAAATGTTTATCTTTCTGCGCATCGAATTGAGCCTACTCAGACGACATTTTGTCTTTCAAGTGAACCTTTCGAAAAATCCAGTTAATAGCCATGATGCCAAATGATTACACGACGACAAATACTTTTCCTAATCCCCTGAACTTTGCGGGGAACCGTGAACTAACTAGAGATTGAGCATCCAGGCGTTTCAACTAGGTTTGGATAACTCCGAGCTAAAGCTTCGTTTCTTCTCAATGCGAGGAATAAAAGCAAAATATCCGAGTCCTCTCTGGCCTATCTTAAACTAACGATGTCAATCATTGTCACAATCTCTTTACATGATGAAAACCAACAAAATAGATATGCAGTACAGAAAGAGTTGAAGGAAACAGCACGAGACGCCAGCCACCGCACCCGAACTGGCAATGGGAGTGGGATTTATTCAAAGGTCGCTCTTCGCGCGCTTAATTACGCGATGGTACGGTAGAAGGTCTAGAATAGGGCGCGGAATCTTTCAGGTAAAAACGACTAACAACTTTCGTATGGCCACATTTTCTGCTTGAGCTAGTGAGAACGTGACTGCATAGCGGTTTCGTCGAAACCCAAAGTGAGCTTTTGCTTTTTTTGTCAATCCTTCACTTTTCCTCTGAATTCCATCTAGAAACCGCGATAGAAAGTGAGATTTTTGTCGGGAGGTCTAGGTTGTGGGCCTGAGCCTTAAATGTTATCCAGGCCTTGACGTCATAAGAATAATTTTCATAGGTTCTCCCCTAACCCTGTACCTCTGGGAGCACAGCAATATATTCACCACCAGCTGTTAAAGAGTGATTTTAAACGGAAAGAAGGATGGCATTGTGTTCAGTAATAGTCAGGGCGAGGCTGGTTACCCTTTTTTTCATTTCGATGGCACCCTTCACCGGTTTCTCTAGCGAGAAAAATTTTGTGACATGTCAATCCCCATTCAATCCACAAATAAAACGATTGCGTTGGGAGCAGAAAAGCCGAAAGTGTCCTCTTTCACGAAAAAGTTGTTATGAGAACAGCAAAATGATGTTCATTGAGGGAGTAACGGGCAATGGAAAGACGCCAGTGGTTCTGCCGGAGCCGGCTTGGAAATTAACGAAAAATGTACTTGAACAGCACACTGAGGACCTACTGAAGCAGTGATCTGACTCCGCTTCCAGCAGGAGAGCACTCCGTCCACAGAATGAGCTCGTCCAAGAGTGGTGCCAGCTGCCCGTCTCCGTTAGCATCGAGAAATGGCTTTTCTGCTCTCCAGATCTTGTCCACCTTGACTCATGTCTATGGTTCTTGATCAGAAGGTAGCCTGCCAAGTTTCCAACCCTAGCTTGCAGTCCTTGAAAGGCCTGCGTGGGATATCTGTTCTGGAGAAAATCGAGATCAGACTTAGGCCCTCTATCGACGCTAATGAGGAATATTCTGAGGGGTGATTGTAGCTTGTTGTTGCTAATAATGTACTAAAAGGTGCATTTACATTCCACTGTCACTCTCATCCCAGAAGCTTACAGTGCTATGAATCGGCACCCATAATTTTAGGACACCCAGTATAACGATGAAAGGATGGAATCACGGTCTTTGGCCTCTGGTTCTGAAAACGAGTTCTTCTACTTCCTTGTCATGACCAATGTTTTTTGTGCCGAGTAGATAAGCAATTCGATAGAACGGCAAGGCAGTAGGCAAAACAAGTGAAGAATTAACCATCAAACACATAAAAACGACAATTCCAAAGGTGCTGCAGCATGTCTGTTTGATTAAGGATTACAGCGATAATTATCGCTTCTGATAATCAAGCTTAGCCCAAAGCGGGTGCACTGCGAGCACCCATCTTATTCTGAGCCTTGGACACATTTTCCGCGTTAAAGACATTGAGATGATTTTATAGGTTATTTTCTGAGGGACCAGTTGGACAGAGGTGGTGGTCTTCATCAAAAATGCAGGAGGTGCGCGGTAGTGTAGTGTAGTGCAAGTGACGCGCTATCACACAAGCATGGTCACGGGTTCGAATCGCGGATAGGTTTCTGCCAGGCCAGTCTCGTCTGAGAGGATAAAAACACTGATTTGTACATCAGCTGGGAATCGCAAGTCGTTGTACAGCCCACCACGCAGCTGAAGTTTTATGAGGTAACCGCTTAATGTTGAAACACCATCTCATCATGATCTGTGGGAGATTCAAACCCATTCAACGAAATCCCAAGCTCAGCTTATTTTCATACACATTCTCGTTTTCTGTTGAACTGGACAGCAGAGTTGTTGAGAGCAGGACCCCACCTCATGGATGGACTGGCCACAAAAGTGCGTTTGGCGGCCTCTAATCACCGTAGAGTTCATAGTATGCACGCACCCTCACCCCTGAGCGCCGATATTTCACTTCTTTCGCTTTCGCTTGTTTTTTCACAATTTTTTTCCCGCCAATGCGATTTCACTCGATATGATTTCTTTCCACGTTCATCTGGTAAGCGTGTTGTTTTCACTTTTGCCGATGTTTTTCAGTGATCGATCGGCAACCGCTCCAAGCATTCAAAACATCGCGTTAGCAACAATGCCATCACTTTGTTTTGCAGAAAACAGTTGAATCGCATCGACGTTCAGAGATCATTCCATGCTTCTTGCCAACTCGTGATCGCTTTTCTCAAGTGTGATTCCCGATTGCTTTGCTGCTAACCTCCCTGAGACCATTGCTTGTCATCGAGCGCGCAGAAATGATCGAGGATTCTTCCCCTTCCTGGGAGGAAGGACCAGGTTGCTTTCATATGGGTCTCTAACTGTTGGTAGTGAAGAAATCGACTGTCTGATGCAGAAGGGGCTTTTTCAGCCTTAGTCCTCTGTGAAAAGTTTGACGGCGGTCTGTATCATGGATTGCTTATTCCAGAACTTTTCCTTTTCGGACTGAAGATAGAGGAGATGAAAAACCGCGCTATTTGTGGTGTGACTAACAATTCACCAGCAAAAAAATGGTGCAGCTTTCCAGTTCTTCTATCTTCGGGCTGAAAACAGTTTCTCAATCTAAAAACTGATTAAAAGTCGAAATTGATGTGCGGTACTATCCCTTTTGTGCGGAAACATGCGTTTCTCGACAATTCCGTTGGCGTCCTAGTCAATCTCCATGTGTTTCAAAGCGAATGTCAGATCCAGGTTCTAGATTGTTCCAGGTCCTAGATTGCTTGGTTTTTCTGTTCGGAGTTTCTCCAACCACCGCTATCCGCAGCTACGCCATTGAAATCCTCCTCATGATCCCGCGCAATTTCCGTTATGTTGCTCTGTTTCTCTAATTTATAGGAGGAGGTATCTCTGTGCCCTTTACTGCTCTATTGTAGCCTTCGAGGCAGTTGTTGCCGGTTGAGCTCTTCAATAGGTGCTTCCAGAACAAGGACAACGCTAAATTATCAGATGTGCAGCTGCGAGTTGTATGGGATCTTGCACCCAACTGAAACTGGCGATAACAACCAATCGACCAGCTCTCCTTAGTAGTTTCTCTGATCTTATCATATTTTGGGCCAAATGAGCAAGACTAACATTTTCCTTCTGTGCTTCATACAGGGTCATCACGGGAGTCTGTGCAGTCCGTATGTGCGAAAATAGGCGACGGTTCATAGTACTAAGTACTACAACGAAATATGGAACCTACGTTGGTTCCAAAGTGCCGAGAGGAAGTGAGAAAGGAGCAAAGTAGCAAAATCATTTACGTGCACTGAAGTGTACTCTGCCTCTTGCGTATTGCGCAAAGGGTCTAAATAGGTGTCGAAAAAAATTGCTCAAAGGGGCAGTGAGGGGCAATCTATCTACATTCCCTTAGAATACCGATCTTTTTTTGAGTTTGTCATCTATTGCCACAAGTAAGGGTGAGAGCCACTCCCTTCGCAAATAGGGAATATGGAAGCATCCTGTTCAAAGTGATAAGTGCTGAACCCTGATGAGATAAGGATTTTATATCTGACGAGAACTCCTCACTTGCACATTACTGCAATATAGACTTCCTCCCGATCCCCTAAAAATCTAGAACTACCGTCACAATCCAGTTAAGCCACAAAGAATCAAAGGCATAGTTTGCGATTAAAATAGTTTCTGAGATATCCTCCTAGTATGAATTTTTGAATCATACCTGCCGTTATAAGGTCGAAAAACATCCTGTGTAGGGCACAAAATCGACTAGAGATTGTGCCCTACACAGGATGCCACACCCATAGTGGACGATTTCGACGGCGTTGTAAATGTTGCACTATACAAGGAACTCCTAGGTAGGAAGTCCAAATAACCCATGGCTACAGTGGAAGGCGGTTTCATTCAATTTTGACTTGATGTAGACAGCGCAAAGATCGC